TGTCTTCACAAAGTAAAGACATGTTTCTTTTCTTTTTATTTACTGAACACTTTTTCCAACAATCTACTAGCCGAATTACACTTATGCTAGAAATTTTATGTAACAAAAACTGCTTAATCATGACAAATATTAACTGCAAAATTGGGAAAAAGTGCAGAATCGCAAACTCCTTGCGCATTTTTAAGAATAGCACATACACATAAACCATTTACACGTCGACTTATTTTTACTTAAAAAAAATCCCAGAATTGCACAAAAAAAAATGGCATATATGAATCGATCGCGAAAAAAGCACATCTTCACTATATCCATGTACACTGCTTTTTTCTCATAAATTAGAAAAATTTCACAAAAATGCATGAAAATACTCAACGTATTCTACTAAAACGTATTCCAAAATACTACAAACATATAACTCACAAAATCACAATCATTAAATTAAATATAATTAAATTAAAAAACGCTACTTAAAATATAAATAAGCACATACATTAAATTAATAAAAAATTAGATTACAATCCTAATTACTTTAAACTAAATCATTGCTAATAACAATTTTCCAATAATATCATATTAATTTATTGCTCCTTACATTTAGAACAATGCATAAAAATAATATCCTCAAATGATTAAAAAATACTAACTTACCTAATCTTCAGAATCTTCATTACGTGGCATGCACACTTCCACTATTTCATACAACACACAATGAAGCTTAATACAAAATAATATAGTAGTACAGTTTTCCAAATTCCCCCCTTTTCCGATTAAAGAACTGTAATTCGTCCATTAATGTCACATGACATATCTCATGATCTCTCATTTCCCGCACACAAAATAATGCGTAATCGGAACTGAGTACTTCTCACATTATTACCAAAGTCCTAAGTAGTAACCTTTATCGCCTCCAAAATGTCGCCAAACTACCAGTTACCATATTCCAAAGATCAGCCGTACATTGCTTGTTTTGTTGTTTAGACGGTAGAATGGCTCAATGTAGTAAGATTAATTTGAAGTTTCTGTACGATTTGAAACGAAAGGGGAAAAGAGCATTAATTGACTGGTGTGTAAATGAAGGTTTTTTTAGAAGCCATTTTCTGGACAGTCTGGAACATCAACAGTCCGAAACTACGGAGGATATTTTTTACTCTTATTTTTTTTAATTTATGTGGCAACGCCGATATATGGAATAGAGTTCAGATAATTTTAGCAAGTTTTTGGATGATGTTAAGGAAGTTGAAGAAATTTCTAAATAAGGTATAGGGATATTTGCTTTGTGTTGTGCTTAGATGCATAAGAGGTTTTTCCTCTTTTATGTTATTTTATTGTTTGGTTTAAAATGTAGTTTATTGAGAGTATGTATTTTTTGTTTGCCTCTACTGGAGAATTGGGTGATCCTTTGACTTTTTAAATGAAAATATATCGATGTGTACATGGACAAAGTGCACAATGCCAAGTTTGTAAAAAGGAGTGCACAATGGCAAGTTTGTGCAATTCTCTGATTTTGTTATAAGTGAAAATAGGTGAACGTGTACATGTATAAAGTCAAGAGAATACACAATGTGCTAGTTTGTTCAATTCTGCGATTTTTTTAAAAGTGAAAATAGGCGAATGTGTACATGGATATCGAGTTTGTGCAATTCTTTGGCTTGTTATTTAGTCTTTGTGTAGCGGCGATTTTTGGCGCTAAAATCGCTGCTACACAAAGCCAAGATAATAAGTCAAAGAATTGCACAAACTTGGTATGCATGTACTAACAAAAATCACCAATTTTTGCTAAGGGGTATCTGTAAATATACTTTTACCTATATGTTGATTGAAGAGAATGAATGAGCTTTTCCGAACTGCTGATAATGCCATCTAGTTTATGAGAGCATAATTGCCTTCACATTATAACAACATATAAATATATCGACAGGATATTTTGTCATCTGAAAATTAGGGTAAGCAAAGAAGGTACACTTTTCTCATTGAAATATATTAAGAATTCATAATTTCTCAGTTATAAAAGGCTTGAAATTTTTGGTTAGAAGGATTTGCATTCTGGTACATCTTTTTACTTTATTTTTACAAAAATCTTCTGGAAAGAAAAAAGAAAACTTTTGGTTGATCTTTACATTATGGTAACTTGGTGTTTTTTTGCGAAAATTTGGCGACCAACTCTCCTACAGCAATCCTCTATTTTTTTTCCCCGCCGCCATTTTGTCTTCACGAAGTAAAGACATGTTTCTTTTCTTTTATCTACTGAACACTTCTTCCAACAATCTACTAGCCGAATTACACTTATGCTAGAAATTTTATCTAACAAAAACTGCTTAATCATGACAAACATTCACTGCAAAATTGGGAAAAAAGTGCACAATACCATACTCCTTACGCGTTTTTCAAAATAACACATACACATAAACCATGTACACGCCGACTTATTTTTACTTAAAAAAAAACATCCCAGAATTGCACAAAAATGGCATTGCTGACACTCTTCACTATATCCATGTACACTGCTTTTTTCTCATAAATTAGAAAAATTTCACGAAAATACATGACAATTTTCTTAATCTTTAAACCCGGTAAAAAAGAACATATATGAAATTACCTAATCGCGAAAAAGTATTTACCCTTTCCAAATATGAACATTTCCACATATATATAAATAAAATATCCAAAAACTTTTACCTCTAAATCATCTATTACATTATACACGTCACCAACGAATTCATACCGCAAGCATTACAAATACTTAGTATCAAAAATTTAAATTATTTCCATGCACGTTTACTTCAACTTAAACGTGTACCAAATTCCTACAAACATAAAATTCACAAAATAACTATCATTTAATTAAAATATCACTAAACCATGTACACGTCGACTTATTTTTACTTAAAAAAACATCCCAGAATTGCACAAAAATGGCATTGCGCACACTCTTCACTATATCCATGTACACCGCTTTTTTCTCATAAATTAGAAAAATTTCACGAAAAAATACATGACAATTTTCTCAATCTTTAAACCCGGTAAAAAGAACATATATGAAATTACCTGATCGCGAAAAAGTATTTACCCTTCCCAAATGTGAACATTTCCACATATATAAATAAAATATCCAAAAACTTTTACCTCTAAATCATCTATTACATTATACACGTCACCAACGAATTCATACCGCAAGCATTACAAATACTTAGTATCAAATATTTAAATTATTTCCATGCATGTTTACTTCAACTTAAAGTATACCAAATTCCTACAAACATAAAATTCACAAAATAACTATAATTTAATTAAAATATAATTAAATTCAAAAAACACTACTTAAAATATAAATGAGCACATACATTAAATTAATACATACATAAATACCCATTTCAAATTCACTTTAGTTACGGCCATGGGATCCAAAAATTCACGAACACTGTTTCACACAACACAGAATAAAGCCAAATACAAAATTTCCAGATTTTTTCCCGATTTCCCCCCTTTTCCGATTAAAGAACCGTAATTCGTCCATTAATATCACATGCAATATCCCATGATCTCTCATTTCCCTCACACAAAATAATGCGTAATAGGAACTGAGTACTGCTCACATTATTACCAAAGTCCCAGGTACTCCAGGTAGTCCAGGTACCTTTATCACCTCCAAAATGTTTACAGTCCAGGTACCTTTATCGCCTCCAAAATGTCGCCAAACTACCAGTTACCATATTGTAAAGATCAACCAAACGTTTTAATGGATATTTTACTTTTAAACCCATTTTAACGATTCTAAGAAAGAGATACTATTCAAACAATAAAAACTGGACTTTTGTAACATTTGTGAATTTTTTATTAAAAAGATTCTCTGAACTTATTAAAAAAAACCTCAATAATTTACTTGGCATAAACAAGCCATACAATTTTTTAAGCCGATTAATAATTGCTGACACAATACGAACAAAAAAAGCTTAAGCAAGGAAAATGTCAAAAATAATTAAAGCTTTGAGCCACAGTCTGGTTTTAAATAAGACACAAATATTTGTAATGCAACAAATGCAACTTCCTCAAAAACTTACACAGCAATAAAACTGTGTGACCAAAATATATGAAGTCATACTAAATCATTTTAGTCACATTTGTGACCGAACATGGTTAAAAGTTTCATATGCATTTTTAAATGGGAATAAATGTTTCATACAATTCACCAAAGTACTATTAGTTAAAGATTTTAAGCCCAAGATGTAAATTAACTAAAAATAAAAAATTCAGGGAAAGTGCAGAATCGCCCACTGCTTTGGGCATTTTTAAGAATTGTACATATTCTGTATCCATGTACACATCAACCTATTTTCACTTAAAAAAAATCCCAGAATTGCACAAAAATGGCATTATGCACTCCATTGACCTTATCCATGTATACATCGACCTATTTTCACTTAAAAAGTCAAAGAAAATTGACAAATATTCAATTTCTCTTACTCTTATAAAAAGCGCCAATCAAATAAGTGGGCGGTTCTGCACTTTAGCCAAAAATTCTATCCTTTTCCAATAGTTACTCAGAAATTTTAGTCAGTAAACTGAAACATTTAGAGAATATAATTACAAAAAAATTTGCACCATTTGTTTTTCAAATTTATGCAGAAATATTTTAAGTTTGTAGTACAAAAATACTTTGGTTCATTTATGGAAAATAAAAAAAAAAAAAAAGGTTACTAATACCAAACACAAGTTTCTTTCTAGTCTGTACATGCATTTTTATAGATAATGTAACATATCACATGACAAAATGCTGTATATTCACTAACTGACACACTAAAAATTTCCATCTGTAATACTGCTTTCAACTATAGAAATTTTAAATCTGTAGAACTCAAAGCATAAGGAGAAAAAATGTAATAATTTAACTATTAGAAAATGTTACAGAAAATAAAAAATGCTATTCGTATGAAAAGAAAAGTGTAAAAATACAAAATCTTAAAATCATAATAAAGAATTAATAAAAGAATTAAACGACTTACCGAACATTTATAACACCTAGGGCATCTTTAGCTATGAAACGCAGGATAACAGCATTTGACAGAGATGAGACTATCCGCATCAAAATCTAAGAAAATAACCGTATTTTTAATCACGGTATTATTAACATTAAACGCATTAATTCTAAAATAGTTGCCACTATAAACTAACTTCTGTTATCAGACTACGCCAAAATATACAATTAGAAAAGTGAACTACAAGGTGGAAATAAGCCAACACATGCAAAGCTATACGATTTCAGAATTAAAATATGCTGCAATTTTATAATACACACCTGTAAAATTATATTGTAAGACGCTGATTTAACAGCGACATTGACAACTGAAGTCTCCATCATTTTGTTTTTTAACTCTACAATAAGATTCCACAAATTTAGATATTTACATCACACATCAGGTATCTTCAAACTTTTTCAGCACTCAAAGAATAAGAGCAAAACTGTCACATACTTAATGGTTAGAATACAGAAAACAAAACACATTCCATATTGCCAGATACGTTTTTTATATCGAAATGAAATTTTACTTTTACAATATGGCTAAAAAAATGGTTCCCCCCCTTTAACTTGTTCGGCGTTATAAGGAGTGTTAATGCAACTTATAAATACTTATATAACTTACAAAATATAAAATTTATCAGAATCCATCACAACTCATGCCTAAAATCTTTCCTTTCTTGCTTTTGATATGATCTGAACTCATTAAAAAAAAATACTTTTTAAAGACTTTTTTTCATAATATAGTACTAATAAAAATAAAAGCCCTTATTATCATTCATTCTTTTCTAAACTGAAACTCCTCTGATATGCTGTTTCTGAAAGAAAACCATTTAGGCAAAGCATGGACGGTGGAGAGTATTTGGGAAATACATTTCTCGAGAGAAGAAAAGGATCACAATCAATATCGTCTGCTTATTTTGTAGTACTTTTGCTTTTATCGTACTGAAGCGACTGAAGTCAAATTTACGGAAGTCTCCTTAACGCATCGCATTTTGTTCATATGAATTTTGTATTTTAGTAGATTCTCTCCAAGCCATAGAATCTTCAACGATTAAAGGTCTTACGAAAATGTCATTAGTGGATTATCAATTCTTCTTCTCCGCGGCTTCAACCAAGGCCAGTTAGTCAACTGAAGTCAACTTCAGTCAACTGAAATCATCCACTTTTTCCCAAACTGTAATCATTTGTTTTTCTGTAAATGTACATCACTTCTACCGATTTTCGTTCCATTCGGATAACTCCTTCTCGGTGCGTCCCTTTTTTTTTTTTTTTTTTTTTTTTTTTTTTTTTTTTTTTTTTTTTTTTTTTATCTAAGAGTGTATTACAATTAGTTGAATAAATGCCAATCTCAAAATTTTAATATTTAGTTGTCTGTTTGAATTCTAAATTGTGACAAACAGAAATTTGTTGCACATAGCAACTTTTAGATTTCAGGCAAATTATAAGTATACATTTTATATTTTATTCGTATATTTTTACAAATATCTAGTAAAAAAACGTTTTTAATTTAATTAATAAATTTTAATTCGTTAAAAAAAGAAGTCCCGCTTTTATTTATTTATTTATTTATTTATTTATTATTATTTTTTTTATACTTGCTGCTTGTCAGCTACTTTCAAACTGTGCACTGGCCCGTGTACAATATAAGTTTGAGACCACTGTTGTAAAGTAACAAAAAGTTCGATACGAAAGTTGTTTGAGTTCGTATTATTATTTTGCTCTACGAGTGTGATTCTAAAATTTAGGAAGTGAAGGAAATTTGTTTGTAAATAGTAAGTGTTTTTCGTTGGTCTCTTTCGAGAGGTGTACTTGGAGTAGCTCATCTGGACAAGTTCGTGAGTATATTTTTGATTTCTACGCTTTCATTATGGGCATTGTCTTGTACATCGATAGGATAGCTTGACTTGGTAAATATGGATGAGATAAATGATTTAGCAATCCTTAATAAGCGCGATATTGTTGAGAATATTCTTAAACATGGCACGATTGAGGATTGTAGGCAGATTATGTCTGAATTTAACTTAGCGTTTATCACGCTTAGAAATGGCTTACGGAAAATCACCCCAGAAATGGAGCAATGGCTCCAGAAAACCTATAGAGAGCTTGAGAAGTGTGTAGCGATTAAACAAACTGCAGGAGATTCAGTGCAAAATATCTGTTAGTTAATACTAGCATCCCGTTAGTTAATACTAGCAATGATTCGACATCTAATCAAACTACAAAGCAACCCAAACCAGTTTCAAATGTTATTCAGGAAATAAGCAAAATAAATAATTATAATGAAAAATGGATTACACCAAAAAAATACCACAAACGCACACTTGGTGAAAGCAGCAACGCTTCAATGACGTCAACCAAAAATAAATACGCTTCACTAAAAATAGATGATAAAATGGACACTACAAATGTTAGTTCGCTAAACTCACAAGAAGACAGTACTAATAATGAAGGTGATTTCATTATGCCCAACAAAAAGCCTAACAGAATTCCGCCGATTATCATTTCAGATGTCACGGACTGGAAAGCCCTCAGAGATAATATTAAGCAATTTACCATATCCATGGAATGTGTACAGAAAGGTGGTGATATCCACATTAAAGTTAAATCGGACACTGAGTATCGTGAAGTCACGAGATACCTAGACGAAAAGGAAATTCCTTACCATACCTTTCCTCTCCCTCAGGATAAACCGATAAGAGTTGTAATTAAAAAATTATCTGTTCACACCAAACCCGAGGACATTATGGAAGAACTAATAGATAATAACATCCCAGTTGAAACAGTAAGACAAGTTACCAAGAAAATAGACAATGAAATTGTCAAACTACCCACTTTCATGGTTGAAGTCAAACGCAGCATAGAAGGGAAGAAAATATACAACATAACGCATATTCTAGATTTGGCTGTTAAAATTACTCCCTTCAGACCCACTCCAGGACACAAACAGTGTCACCACTGTCAGAGGTATGGCCACAATCGTGCTCACTGTAAGCACAAGCCCAGGTGTTTAAAATGCGGGCAAAACCATATTACTACTACATGTACAAAAGACAGAAAACTTACCCGGCAAATGTTGCCTCTGCTGAGGCCCCCACATTAGTTCGTACCGTGGTTGCGAAATGCATCCGGATAACTTGAAAAAAAAAAATTGCAGAAAAAGAATTCCAAAAAGAAGCGAGAAAAAACTTCAAAAAATAGTCCCCCTGATATCAACTTAGAAAATTTCTCACACCTCTGCCAAGAAGAAACATAACCCAAAATAGCAGTGAAAATGTTAATGAGCATTGATCCACCAATCAGGACGCAGCTGTCGAAAGTGAGAACTTAGGCTCCGTTTCCGATTTCATAATTTGGCTGAAGAAATTATTCCTGCAAGGAAAAAATCTCTTCGAGCGGTTCTTAAAATCTAAATCAATATTGGAAAAATCCAAGTCGGCTGGGAAGCCTTTGAACTTTTATCAAGCATCAATTATGAATTTTAACCACATTAACAGTAATTCAAGAACTCACCTCACTGCCCCCAGCAGTTTAAACCTCGCATTTTTTAACGCCAACGGTATTCGCCACAAGAACGTTGAAGTTGCAAACTTCCTTAATCACCATAATATTGATGTGTTTCTAATGAATGAAACTTGGCTCAGACCTAATGATAAGTTCAAGATCAATGGTTACAACGCATTCAGGACGAACAGAGACCATAACAGGGGCGGCGGTACTATGATATTAATTAAAAGGCATCTGCACGCCAACGAGTTTAATATTCCCAATAGCAGCAGCATTGAAACCACTGCGATCGTTGTGCATTCGCGCACAAATGAGCCGATTGTCATCATCTCGGATTATAATCCCCCCAGAAACATTCTCACCAACAATGACTTTGCAAATTTTTAACAATATCACTCACCCTGTTATTATAGCAGGGAACCTGAATTCTAAACATCATAGCTGGAATTTCAAAGAAAATAACACAAATGGCAACAAACTTTATAGCTATGCTCTTACGAATGACCTTAGAATTTTTGGACCAACGGAACCTACAAGGTATCATCATACAGGCAGCTCGGATGTTCTCGACCATTAGTTATTACAAAAAATATCCAGCAAATCCCTTTCCTACAGGTGATTAATCAATTAACCTCTGACCATCTCCCTGTTAAATTTACTTACCATGGCTTTGAGAAGACCTTGCCTTTAAAGAAAATTATACACTGGCAGAAATTCAATAATTCTCTGGAACAATTACCTCCACACCCGGCTCTTGCCGATATTGTAGACATTGAGTACAATATCACTAAGATCAATAGTAAAATTAAGAAAGCCCTTGATGATTCCACCAAATTCAAAGATTATAAGAAAGACAAGCTCCCCGACCACATCATTGAGAAAATAAAAGACCAAAACCCCACAGCAAAAATCTGGCGAAGAACAGGCGATTCCACTGTTAAAAGAAATCTGAACAGAAAAATTAGGAACATCAAGACCCTACTTTATGCAGTGCCTATCTGGGCCAACTGTGTACATGACTTATAGACACAAACTACAGGTCTTTCAGAACAAAATACTCAGACAAATTGTTGACTCCCCATGGTTCGTACGTAACCTGCAGATACATAAAGAACTAAAAATAAGACCCATAGCTGATCAAATTCTCACCACGAGCCACAATTTCTATGCTAAAATAGAACTTTCTCAATACGAACATATCCGTGATCTTAAATTATGCCCTACAATAGAAAATGCAAAAGCGCCCAAGAGGCATCTTCCATAACAGCAAATGGTGAAATGTGTATATATTGTACATAGTACTATTATCTTTATTTTATCTTCATTGTGTCATTTTTACCAGTGTCTTTGAAACTTTATAGACTTATGGACATGATCCGTGTACCTGGATCTTCAAAGCACTGAATCTTATATTTGTCATTTTTATTTATCGTAATCTTCTTATTGTTATATCAGAGACTTTGTAATATTGTGGACTTATGGACATGATCCGTGTACCTGGATCTTCAAAGCTCTGATTATTTATTGCTAGTGTAAAATGTTTTTCACCATTTGCTACTTCGCTTAAATACCGCCGTCCCTATATGTACATAGTGTATAGTTTCAGTAACTCATGTGCCTCAGTGTTATGTACAAGAACTTTAGTGTTTTAATTTCTCAGACCAAGACTTCACTGAATTGTGATATCTACTATTTCAAGATGCATTGGCTGTGGACAGTTAACGGGAGGGTGACCCCCACCTGACTACCACTGTCCAATCTGTGTTTTACAGCAAGGATGAATTTGAATATTTTGTTTAGCTAATCTGTTGCACTTAGTTGTGCCATTTGTCTTCATTTAGATCGCGATATTAGTTTAATTATTCCAATCTGGATAACCTGTTTCAAAACTTGATAATTATTAATATATCCAATATTTCTCATTGCACGAGTAAGCTGCTTTGCTCGGAGTCTCAAAATTTCACAAAA